TTTTAACAGATTATCAGCCAAATTAAACGAACACTGTCTGCACTAGAATGTAACTTGAGCAAAGCTCGAACAATATCTGTTCTTCCTTGCCCTAAGTGACCCTTAATACATTTCCAATATTCAGGATTCGATTGGGCCCCTACTCCTTGAACTAATAATTGAGATGCAGTTGTTTCATGTGTGTGGAAATGAAGACGGATCCAAGACAAAAGCTAAAATTTAAGAAATATCTTAAAATTATGAAGTTTATATATATTATTGTGAAATATTTTTTGATTCAGCTGGAGAAATATCTGAATTACATCTAACCTGAGAGAAAAATAATATACCAGGAACAGAATCTATCAATATAATTCACCATAAGTGCCAAAGGCATTCAACAGAATAAAAAAATAGTGACATATTTTTGATATTCACTTCTCTTCTCTTCATTGAGGCTTAGTTTATCCACCTTTTCTTGAAGGTTTTCTAAACAAGCTCTGATAATCGACCTGTATTGTCTCGATAAAATCACTAATTTCTGTTGGGCATTATCATTAGACACCTGTTGGACTGATAGAAAACTACCAATAGATCATTAACAAGCTTACGAAGTATTTTATCTGAAGAATGTTAGTTTTCCTTATGTGGTGGATTTTTATATCTTTGTTCTCATAGGGTGAGCAGGGAGTATCTTGGTAGACTTGTGATATGTGATAAGCTCTGACAGATAAAATTCTGGATTTGCCCAGTAGCAACTATGCCTGAACTTTACAAACGGGATCTAGGTATAACCTAAAAATTATTTATAAAGCGACATTTTGCATAATGGCAAAATTTTACAATATAAACAAATACAGTAAACAATTTTGTACTTTATGTGACATTTTAAAAAATGAGTTATGTTTGAATAAACACTAGTAGAAGTAAACAATAAATAAATTATATTGCATATTAAATTATTATTCATAATCCTTATAACTGATGTGTGTGTATGTCTGTAAGTATAAACATAATTACATATCATAAGACAAATAGGTTAAAAGATGCAGTCCATAAAATGTTAATAAACTATATGTAAAATGTATGCAATACTCACAATAGTTTTAGGGCCATCCATATTTTATTTCTTGTTATAACAAAATTTAACATAGATTTTGCTTTCTTAAATGTGTTTTTTTTTTTAATTTATCAGAACTATTTAGAGTCATTAAATAACAAAAAATTACGATTGCCAGAACACCCATACACACTGAAGTTGGCTCCGGTGTTGACCATAACCTGTCAAAATTTCAGCAGTGTTGCTTTCTGCAAATCATTTAGGGGAATATTTAGTGCAATTCTTCTACGTCGTCTGAATGCTCGATCCCATTTTTTTCTTGTAGCGTTGTATCGTGTCGTGGTGTCCGCCATTTTCTGTTCAAGTATATTCTGATTAATTTTTAATTTCATTTTGTTTGCAGTTATGCCTTTTCATTTCGTTTCTTTATGATTCTTTCATTTATTTCATTTATTTTTATATTATTCTTTCCTCTGCGGTTACCATTTTAGTGCTCTGCAATCGATTCGCTTGTGCACGTTTCTTCTTAAGTAAGGCTTTTATTATTATTTTTCTTACATTAACATGTTTTATTATAATTCGTTCTGTTTCTTTTCATTTATATTTCTTACTGCGCTTTTTGAAATTAACAAATTTACTTCTTCATTAGGTTTATTTATTTTATTTGAGGGTTATTATATCACTTTCTATATTAAGGTCTAGCTTAGGTTCCACTTTCTTTACCTTCTTTTCACATTTAGGTCTAGCTGCTTCCATATTATTTTGCTACTTTTTATATTTAGGTCTAGCTTAGTACTTTTTACATTTAGGTTCGTTAATAGCTTAGCTTCCATATTATTTAGATACTTTTAACATTTAGGTCTACCTTAGGTTCCATATTATTTAAGTCGTTTTTACATTTAGCTTCGTTACTACCTTAGCCATATTATTTAGGTACTTTTAACATTTAGGTCTACCTTAGGTTCCATATTATTTAAGTCGTTTTTACATTTAGCTTCGTTACTACCTTAGCCATATTATTTAGGTATTTTTAACATTTAGGTCTAGCTTAGGTTCCATATTATTTCAGTAGTTTTTACATTTAGGTTCGTTAATAGCTTAGCTTCCATATTATTTAGGTACTTTTTTACTTACGTTTACATTACTTTCTATTTTCATGCTCTAGCCTTTAGTTCATAACTCATTTCACATTTATTATACAATTTAGTCACTTTGCTTCTTTATTCTCGATATCTATTTTATTTGTAATTTATCCAATAAACCAACATGGACTTTGCTTGTAGTGAATGCAAAACCACGTTTACAGCTCGTAGCTCTTTATATCGACACCTCAGGAGACAGCATGACAAAGAGCCACGAGCCATTTATCCTAATTCGTGTCAATTTTGTTATAAAACCTTTAAAACCATACATACTTTAGATAGACATGTATGCCGAGTCCATTGTAATATCCCTGCTCCTTCAACTACACAATCCTGTTCATCATGTTCCGAAGATTATACACATTTGTATTTATTTTGTATCATTCTTCTAATGTTTTCTATAACATAGGTCAAATTGTAAATAATATAATGTGTATATATTTTATTTTTAATAAAAATATTTATCGGAATAGATGTTTTTTTAACTATGTTTGGTATTTTTCATGGCAATCATATTGTTAAAATTTGTATGAGATACACCTGATTATTTTAGAACATTCTAAATATCATTACTATATTTATATACAATTACTATAAATGCGATATATAAATAATATATATATATATATATATATATATATATATATATATATGTAGTAATATGTGAGTTAGGTGTTGATATTATAATATTGTATGTCTGTCATTTGAATATAACGGCCAAGAGTGTCTATCCTGACGTGTATGTGCTCTATGGTGTGTCATATGTAGAGTGTCTGATCCCTTACGGAACAGAAGTATGTATCTGTGTGCGAGTCGGAGTCTGGCGGTAACTGGAGTGTTGAACAGTTCGGCGTTGTGTTAATTTGGTGAATTATTAAATGTGTTGTATGAAGTAAAAGGTGTTTTATTAATTAATTAATGCTAGAATAAAGCTAGCTTAAAGCTCAGAAGTGGGATAGGATCAAAACGTGGAGAATTTTATTAGAGAACATTATTGGTGTGGATTATTGAAATAGGCGATTTCAATAATCTTTTTTTGGAGTGCCCGTGTTATTAATCAGGCGGATTATAATTACGGGGTGCGATAGAAAGCAAGGTGTGCTTCGCTATCGTACAAGTGCGGGTGTTATTTTGTAAGTTTTGTAAGTTTTGTGTGTTGTGTGTTGTGCTAAAGTGAGGTTAGCACGTGGGTAACCAAAATAAGAACAGAGTGGAGAGAAAATATCAAAAGCAGGTCGTAATATTGACGTTGGCGAGTCGCGGAGCTGCGATGTGTGTAATTAAAACTGGAGATTGCGGAAATAAAATAAGATTTGGTGAGATGGCTACTGGTGGTGATGCTGAGAGCTTGGTGCCCGAAGCCTTAAGAGTGCTATCGTTGACGGACTTGATTAATCTTATTAGGGCGACAACCAGTAATAAAAACGATAGCATCTCGAGCAGCGAGTGGTTGGCGACGATACCGATATTCGACGGGTCGTCTGAGCAATGCATCGAGGCGTGGTTTGAACGGGTTGAGACCGTCCGGGATGCATACGAGGTGCCTAAGAAAAAGATGGCGGTGCTGATAACATCGAAGCTGTCGGGGCGGGCGAGGCGATTATATGACAGCAAGGCAGAGTATGCGACATATTCATACGACGAGCTGAAGAGGGTGCTAACAGCGTTTTTCAAAAATGGAGAAGACAGGATGACTAGAATGAAGCGCTTTGAGTCTCGGAGGTGGCGAAAACAGGAACCGTTTAGCGCATACTTTCAGGAGAAGATGGCGCTAGGGAATAGGTTGGGTTTTATGGAGTCCGATCTACTGGCTTATATGATAGACGGCTTCGACAACCCGCCACTCCAGGCTCAAGCCAAGATGAGCCAATTTAAGGATTTAGCAACTCTGCTAGGTGTAATGAATGAGTTGACAGCGGAGGAACGCGGATGCAATATGATGCCGTCTACGAGGGTACAGCCAACAGTGTTTCCTAGAGTGGAAACACAAGGCACATATCCTACGGTGAGGTGTTTTAATTGTGGCGGAGTGGGACATATGGCGTCCAGGTGCATCAAACCGAAGAACGATGGAGTGGCGTGCTACGACTGTGGCTCAAAGGAGCATCAGCAGAGATTCTGCAAAAATGTCCGGAGTACGGCGCAGGTGGCACCTGACAGCACTACATTTCGAGTTAACGAAATATTGGCGATTGATGGTGAGATTACCACAGACGGAGCGAATATAAGTATATCAGATGAAAATGACTACGAAGTAGAAAAGGAATATCTGGAGAGTGAAAAACCGGAGGAACCAGAGACTGCATTCGAAATGCATGACTATGGAGTGATAGCGACAGCAGAAGATCTGGTAGAAAAGGAATATTTGGAGAGTGAAAAGCCGGAAGAAACAGATACTGCATTCGAAATGCATGGCTATGGAGCGATAGCGACGGCAGAAGATTTGGAGACTGAAAAACGGGAGGAGCCAGAGACTGCATTTGAAATGCATGGCTATGGGGTGGTCGCGACAGTAGGAGATCTGGTAAGAGAGGAATATTTGGAGACTGAAAAACGGGTGGTGCGCGATTCTTACCCCAGCCCAAGAATAGATGATTGCTTGGACTCACCGAAGTCTAAGAGGTATTTTACGAAGCTAGATCTGGAGAACGCTTTCTTTCATGTGGTGGTGGCTGAGACTAGTAGAAAATACACTAGCTTGGGTGTGCACAGGGAGAATATGAATACAACCGTATGCCATTTGGGTATTGTAATAGCCCGAATGTATCTATGAGATATGTAAGTGACATTTTTCGTTGTTTTGTGATGAACTGTGAAGTTATAGTGTACATGAACGATTTACTAATGGCCACAGAAACAATTGAGGAGAATATTGAAGTGTTGCGTAGGGTGTTAGAGATGATTCGTAGAAATAAGCTAGAACTAAAATTAAATAAGTGTATAAAAATAATAGGCGTATAAGGACAATAAGTGATGGCGACAAAGTTGGTAGAGACAATAAGTGAATGAAATATGATTTATGTTGTAATGGTTTATGATTTATGTTGTAATGGTTTTATGATTTGTGTTGTAATATTAGATTTAGATTACTGTTGTATTAGATCTCATCAGTCGGGGACGCCTGTGAGGTCAGGATTGGCCGAACTATAATATTGTATGTCTGTCATTTGAATATAACGGCCAAGAGTGTCTATCCTGACGTGTATGTGCTCTATGGTGTGTCATATGTAGAGTGTCTGATCCCTTACGGAACAGAAGTATGTATCTGTGTGCGAGTCGGAGTCTGGCGGTAACTGGAGTGTTGAACAGTTCGGCGTTGTGTTAATTTGGTGAATTATTAAATGTGTTGTATGAAGTAAAAGGTGTTTTATTAATTAATTAATGCTAGAATAAAGCTAGCTTAAAATATATATTTTAATAAAACGAAAGACTGAAAATATCACAATTTAATACATATCATATGTTTGACTTCATTTTATTATATGATTATAAATATATACACAAAATATAAATAAGTTGAGTTCTAATGAACGTGCGTATAGTTAGCAGCACAAGTACCTAGCAGCAAAATAATTTCAAGGTCATTTGTTTAAAATTTAATTTTACTGTATAAAATGTTAAAATATTGCTATAAAGTCAATTAAATCTTAATGTTTTAGGCTTTTCTAGTTTTTTTGACATAAATATCTTAAACATAATTATCTGACAGCATTATTTTCCATTGTTACCAACATCCCACAGTCGGTGCTGGCAATTCTGCTGTTGATAATGCAAATAAAATTATATATTACACAAGTGCTCAATTATCAACTCAATAAATAAAATTGATGAGAATAATAAAAAATGTGAAGCAAAAATATAGTGTTTCGTGTTGATTTCAAGGAATTTGCAACAAATTCTTTCGCTGTGTTTGAGAGGTTATTAAATCTGCTGCTAGAACTTTTTGATTGAAATAATCCATCAAATTTTACATTTTTGATACTAATGTTTCCTTATTAGCTCAATAAACATAAATGTGAAAGAAAAATATAGTTTTCGTGTTGATTTCAAGAAATTTACAACAAATTCTTTCGCTGTGTTTGAGAGGTTATTAAATCTGCTGCTAGAACTTTTTGATTGAAATAATCCATCAAATTTTACATTTTTGATACTAATGTTTCCTTATTAGCTCAATAAACATAAATGTGAAAGAAAAATATAGTGTTTCGTGTTGATTTCAAGAAATTTACAACAAATTCTTTGAGAGTTGTGTGTTTGAGAGTTTATTAAATCTGCTGCTAGAACTTTTTGATAGAAATAATCCATCAAATTTTACATTTTTGATACTAATGTTTCCTTATTAGCTCAATAAACATAAATGTGAAAGAAAAATATAGTGTTTCGTGTTGATTTCAAGAAATTTACAACAAATTCTTTCGCTGTGTTTGAGAGGTTATTAAATCTGCTGCTAGAACTTTTTGATTGAAATAATCCATCAAATTTTACATTTTTGATACTAATGTTTCCTTATTAGCTCAATAAACATAAATGTGAAAGAAAAATATAGTGTTTCGTGTTGATTTCAAGAAATTTACAACAAATTCTTTGAGAGTTGTGTGTTTGAGAGTTTATTAA